ATTAATAGTTCTACACACCCTCACAATGAGCTCAGATTCATTAGCAGGAAGGGGGGGGGGACGGGGAGGCGGATGGCGCCGTTATACAGGGTATTGACAAAATCCTAGTCCTCACTCCCAGTCCAAAGTCCCACTCCCAAAAACCAGACCTTGACGTGGGCTGATCCACAGTCCTAGTGCAAAGTCCCACTCTAAAAAACCAGTCCAAAGTCTCAATCCTCGAACTAAACCCTCGATGCACAATTAAGGGTATTGCAAATGTCTATAGCCTTAAACTAAACCCTCGATGCACAATTAAGGTTGCAAGTTCAAGTATGAGCGAATGCAGCTGTACCCGAACCTCGAAGACTGCGGTGAGGGAATAGGAATTTCACCGTACACCAAACCTCGAAGCACGAAATGACATGAGCTTACAGACCCGACTCATAACACCAACCCTCAACACGCTCAGCCAACACATCACTGCATCCCACAACCTGGCAACAACGTCAGTTCAACCTTATGCCAATACCCGTATTAGGACCTCAAAATGGAGAGAGGAAAATATGCCAACGACTTCTTGACGGTCCTTGAAACTCAGACAATAAAATGTTTTTTCAAGTCTCCCTTAAAGACACTCCGCCAAATGAAACTTTTTTCTTGCCAATCTCCGTCTCTGATTTTTAACTACCATTTTCTACATTATAAGCAAAGTTACGAGGGATTTTCTCGCCCCTACGATGAGGCTGCGTAGGCGTTGACTTTCGAAATACTATGTTTCTTGACCTTCCCTTCTTTCCCTTCCCCGATATCCGATAATTGTAATCAAACCCGTCTATTAAGTACTCGTGGAACAATCTAAAGCATGGAGATGGACAAAGAGAAACTGCACAATTTGCACAAGTATACTTCTGGCGGCAATTTTTCCACCCTGGGTATTTCCTTTTTGTGAGTGATCTGCAAACAACACAATGTCCAGTGTAGTGGGTGTCATCTGCCATCGTGAGAGTAACCCCTGGATAGTGTACGTCAGTGAATTGTCCAGGATACTCTGCCTCTACGTTGGAAGCACATGGCAATGGTGCGGACACTTTATCCACCTCGTTGTCTGCACCCACACAATCATTATCATCCCCTTGTGCTGCGCCCTCATGCTCATCTACTATGATTTTTCTTCTTTCCTCCTCCTCACAACCATCCCTTCTCTGCAGAATTGTTTCCACCATCCTCCTCCTCCTTAGTTCATCCGTCTTTTTTTTCTTTTCATCAACCGTTGTATGCTCCCGAAATGCAATTGCCTTCCTCCCTCTTCTACCACTGCTGCTCCCCACTCATTGTGGTACATTTGTCCTCTCTGTTCCCATTTTTTCTTTCTCCGTGGCCTCTCTGTCCGACGAAGAGATAATATGATATATTTTATCTCCGTCAGACAAATGTTTCTTCTGGATTTTCTCTGTTTCTTTGTCCTTTCTTATATTTGTTCCGTCTTCTTCCTCCTCGAATCTTGCTGTCTCTGCCGTGGTCATTTTTTCCTCATTACACGCTTGTACTCCCTCCACCTCACCACCCTCGCAATCATCATGCACAACTCCCCCACCCCCTCCTTCCAAAGTCCCATGCTCCTTTGGTTGTTGTAGGTTGCTTTTCGTTCCACCTCCTATACTGTTGTTGTCAGACACTTTCAAGAGTCCACTCCGGCTATGGCGTCGTTTTTTTAGTTTCTCTCCTTGCCGTTCAGGCCTGACCACCGAACCCTGGTTATCTCCACGAACCAGCGGAGGTCTGCGTTGACGAAAAGACCTTGCARTGTCCGTCTCCATTTYTTTTGTAACTGYGTTTTACCACCAACAGAATGCAAKGATGAGTTCGTGGATGCAMAAAYAAATGCCCCGAACAAGATATGTCCCGCACTTGCATGCGCTTGTGTGCTGTGACAACAAATGTCTCATATCCAAAATGCAATATAACATCAACATAGTTCTGAACATGCAGAATGTAACAACAAACCGAAATATGGGTATTGAAAACAAACACGAGTGCTCTGGCAGGACATAGACAGATAACCCTCATGTTCCTCCTCACTGGGCCCATGCTAGCTGCCCCGTTGCTCGCTGCCCCACTGCCCTGCTACCCCGCTGCCCCGTTGTTCTGCCAGTGTTGGAGCCATCGCCAGGAGTTGCTCCTCTACCTGTCGCTAAGGTGAGTCTCCTCTTCCTACTCTTCCTCCCCTCCTCCTCCTCCTCCTTGTCTTTCACCTCCTCCTCCTCCTCCTCCTCCTACTCGTCTTCCACCTCCTCCTTCTACTCTCCTTCTCTTCCTCCTCCTTCATCACCTCTTTCTCCTCCTCCTCCTCCTCCTCCTCTTCCTCCTCGTGCTCCTTTTCTCCCTCTATCGTCTGCTCCTCTTCCTCATCCTTGTCCTTTGCCTCCCACGCCCCCTCTTCTTCTTCCTCCTCCATCGCCGCCTCCTCTTTTTCTTCGTCCTCCTCCATCACCTGTTCCTTTGTTCTACTCCTCCACCTCAGCCTTGTTCTCGTCATCTCTATACCAACAATTGAGACACCGCACCTCATCTTCTGGGGGTAAATGGTGGGAGTAACTATGAATGAATCAAGATCCGTCAATTTGGACGGAACTTTCCGTTGAAATCGATGGATCTCGAATGAATGAATAGATGGTTGATTGATTGATCGATTGATTGATTGATTGATTGATTGATCGATTGATAAATTTGTTGAGTGATTGATTGAGTGATTGATTGATTGATTGACTGATTGATTGATTGAAAAAAACAAAAAAGAAAAGGCAGAGGTGAGGAGAAGCAGCCGCTACCCGGCGTAGTCATTCTTTTGTGATCCTCTTGTTCTCCTCCTCCTCCTCTTCCTCCTCTTCCATCACCTCCTTCTCCTCCTCCCCCTCCTCCTCCTCCTCTTCCTCCCCGGCGATCGACTGTTTCTCCTCCTCTTCCTCGTCTTCCTCCTGATCGTGCTCCTCTTTTCCCTCCATATTGCCTGCTCCTCTCCGTCGTCCTTGTCCTTCACTCCCTCCCCCCCCTCCTCCTCTTCCTCTTCCTCCTCTTCCTCTTCCTCCTCTTCCTCTTCCTCCTTTTCCACCTCCTCCTTATCTTCTTAGCGGCCATGCACGTGTGACATTGAAGACACAAACAACTGAACTACAAATGTATCATGCGAAGCGAAGCACGCATCGAACAGGAAAGAGCCGAATCACGTGAGTGGTAAATAGCACTGGCAGTACTTAGTCTCTACGCAACACGAATTGCAAATGTCCCCCAAGAACATCATAATTATAACGAATTCGCAAATGGTCAGGGACCATACAATCATTTTTTTTTCCCCCCCTCAGCCGAAACAAAGACAAGCTGCATACCCGAACTACGGAAGCCCAGTCACCTTCTTGCAGTAAACAAGCTTAACGATATCGAAACTTCTACCTAACTGGACGAACAATAGCACCGTAAAGAACAACAAAAAGCGAATGCTACGAAGGACAAGCATAGGTGAGATA